ACTATAAAATGAGGAAGCTACCTACCCCTCTGAATATTGTACTGTGCAGCTTTTTGATATTGATAACTCGGCCATTGTTGTCTAGCAAAGATTGCCACTGTTCTTGAGTTAAGCATTCCCCTCTTTCAACTTTWGGGACAGGGCCAAGGCTTCTCTGAAAATATTATTGGGTTACTTACAATGAAACTAAATTGAACTGAACAAAATGAAAAATACTCATTAATAATTTAATGCAATCTTTTTAAAGATTTCATAGGGCAGTTTCATAGCATCAAGTAGTGCTGCAACAAACAGTCTGCTTTTTATTAGCCTCCTATTTTTTTGGGAGTCTGGAGGAGGAAACAAGAGTTGCCTAGGGAGGAGGATGCCTTTTATCACTAGTTATAGATGTTATAATAATTCTTCTTACTCTTGGTGGGACAGGTTGAGATGGGCAGGCAACTGCCTCTCCTAAGTCCTCAAACTCTGCGTCCTTTCTTGGTGTATATCTTACTGCAGGTCTGTCAGCTGGGGTATCAACTGTTGGTGTTGCTTGTATGACATCCATTGTGTCTCTGAAGTATTTTGTGACTTTAGACAGAGCATCCATGCCATCATAGTAGGCAGTGTTGATGAATCGCTAGATATATAATTTATATTATAATTACATGTAACTACATTTTAAATAAACTAATACAAATTTTAATATGATTTGTTATTACTAGTATTTTTTACAGCCTCATGGACTATCAACTCCTAGTCCAATTGACCAAACAGTCTAATTGTCATGAAGGTCAATCACTTAATCAGACATTTTGCCATCAAAATCACACAGTTAGCCAGACAACAAAATCACAGAAAGTTAGCCAAATACTTTTCTGTCYAAGACAAACTTTAGCCAGGCACTTGACCACAASACAATTACTGTTAATTATCTAGCAGTGGCTGACATTGTAAACTTACCGATAAATATGACGATGATGGTCCTCTGTCATTAAAMAGCTGCAACTGGTCCAGTGACATCCGTAATGCTTCATTTTCTTGATCGGCGACAACAAACAGCTTGTAGTTTGTTGGTGATCTATAATATCAATAAGAAAATGATTAAAAAGTTGAATAATAATACTAGTATAAAGATGGTCATGAAATACATGTATGGTGAATGCAATGCACAATTAATTTTTCAACTTTTTACAGTGACTGTTATTAAAATGACCTTATTTCATTTGCAAGTATGAAACAGCCTTTTTGTCTTAAGAGTCAGGATTGGTTAGCGATTGGATAGACCAATTCCCAAAACATTTTCCCCAGGAAGCACTTTATAAAGCTTTCTACTAAGTRAATATTCACCAAAATAGTAGTCAAACTTGTACCTTGTCAACCAAACATATCTTTGTAAGTTTTGTATAAGATTTTGGATGCCTCCAGAGTGAAAGTGCAAAGCYGGCAATGTAGTACTATCCTTTAATATGAACACAACATAAGACCAGGCAAGTTTAGGGTCTGAGCGCCGAATGGAGTGAAGTTCATTAATGTTGAAGTGAATGGCATATTTGGACTTTTCTTGATTTTTCTGTTCATCATCTTGGTCTGAAAGAGATCAGTCTTTTTAATCAATATCAAAGATTCATAGTGGCACAGCCTGCATGCAGCTGAAACCRTTGTTTCAGCTGAACACAGGCTACAGAGGCTCAGCAAGGCTTTTTGTCAAGAAATATGAATRGSMWTWARKT